ACGGACTCGTTGTCCTCCACCTCACCGCCATTTGTCTTCCACGCGCCGAGTGGAGAGTTGGGGGTCGCGGCCCGAGTGTCACCCGCAGTCGATTTCCCCTCACTTCATCCCTGCCCACTGAGTAATCCCCCGGACCCACTTTGGTCCAACTCGTGTGCGGTCGTCCCTCAGCAAACACCACGTCCACCCTCGCCAGTCTTCCCTGAGCGGCCGGTGTCCCCAATCCAGCACGCCACTGACATTCAGGCGTTACCCGCCCCGCCGATCTACTCGTACCCCCCGGTGCCGGCGCCTTGTTACTGCCCCATGTGTTTCCCAGGTGTGGCGTGGATGGCCGCCTGCCCACAATTCCCCTGTTGTCTACCCCCGGCCCCCGCCACACCCGCCTTCATTGACCCGACCTCAGGTGCGCCGGTGTTCTCCTGTTGTCTACCCATGTCGACATTCCCAACAGGTTCTACTACCTCCACTTTTATCCCCCTTGGACCACACGCACTGCCTTATCCTGCGAGTGCACCAAGCACCTCCCAAGTCAACTCCCAACTGCCCTACGCGATAGCCATTAGCCCAAAGGCCGGCTCAGTCATGTCCGGACAGCAAGTGCCACCGGCCGACTCGACCTCCAACGCGCCGAACGGCCCGGGCGAGTGGGTGTTTGAGGCAAACTCGGCAGCATCTGCATATCCCCTTCACGGGTGAATGCAGTCTATCCGTGTAAATTGACTGTGGTGCATCCTAAGTAGAATAAAAAAACATCATTTTGTTTTTTTCCCCTGTGGTGTCAATCTCCCCAGCCGTTATTTCCCTTTTATTGTACAATCTCAGTAAACTGGCCACCACCTGTATTCTATTTACCTACACACACTAGAGAACTTTTTATTAAAGTTGCGTTTTATCTTTGATTACCCTGGTTTGTTGCGTCTGTCGGTCGTCACTCCTAGTGCCTTTCAAATTTACCGTATAAGGATCTCGCACTTCAAGATAAATTATTTGTCCAGTTAACCATTTGACCTCACCCGTGTACTTTCTTGTTCCTACTTTAATCAAATGCGATAGAATGGCCAAAATAAGTGGACCACTCGAGTCACGAGTGGTAGAGGCCCAGTCACTTGAAAATTAAAACACTAAAAAACTTCATGAGGTAGGATGCGAGGCGGCCTTCTGTCAAAAATTTGTTACGTTTACCCGTAACTAAGAGGAAACCACTCAAATAAACGGTACCGGGTACTGAATAAGGAGGTGCGTTCTCCAAACCTACTCTTGAGATGTTGAACGGTTTCTCCAAAAGTAAAGTCGAGTGAGGATTTGGGGAGGACAGCGTCTGTGTATCTCTTCAATTCGGCTGGGCCCAGTTTGCGGGTGAGGAGTCTGACTTTCCATGCGTCAGCCTGGGACGCGAGATCGACTCGGAACAGGTCTTCGTAACGCCGATACCAGGACTTAAACGTTACGCCGTTCTCCGGATCATAGGAAAGCTCCGATGGCGTACTGGCAGGAGCGGCCTGAGACGACTGGCGATCTGCCAGCATTACCACTAGCCGCTCGAGTAATTGTTCCAATCCTATGTCAATTTGACACTTCTTTTTGTCGTCATGACTAATCAGGTTCTGGAATGTTGACATCCAACTTTCTAATACTCAGTTCTCATTCTAATGTTCCTTCCGGCCATCTAGCTTTTCCCAAATGAGACTCATTTGTTTAGATGACCCATGGTTAAGACGGTAGACATGGGAAGATTTGAATCGGGAGTTGGATCGTACGTGTAGTAGACGGATGAAGCACTGGTGCTGTTTTTGACACGTAGCAAACTGCGCCTTTGCCTGCTGCAACCGGCCACCATTAAAATGACCCAATTTGTCACTTGTTTTGTTAACTTGGTTGCCATGTAAAGTTGGGTGAAAATAAAGACAAGCTAGCACGTGGTGCCTTTCTCTCACATATATGTATACCCAGTGACATTCTCAATGGCGTCATTGACCGATTTTTCGTAGCTGTGCCTCTGAGAGCGCTTTCGATCGTTGCAGGTAAATGGTAAACAAGTAAATTCGCGTGTTCGGATTGTTGGTGGATTGCAGATGTTTGGGCGGTGTGATGATGACGATTGAATTCTGGTGATGGTTTAATTGGAGCCCCTTCGAGATAACTTCTATTATTTAGTGACTGGAAGGTCAATCGGCACAGTAACACTAAAGTCCGGACACACGGTCGTAGGCTTACTTAAACTCAGTCAAAATTGGCGGCTTCCACGAAAATGCGCAAAAATTATGGCAGACTAACACCAGTAGTAGTTCTTCTTCATCCTAGTTGGAGTCTGTGGTTGAGTGACGTGCTATGCACCTCTTTGCAGCCTGCAGCGTGGCTCTTCAGATAACGGTAAAGATTGAGTCGATCTGGCTACTGAACCGCCTTTCGCTTAGCCTCACAAAACAAGCAGCAGCGACCCAACCTAGTCGAGAAGTGCGCTTCTGTGCTGAGACGTCTTAAATTGTCTTTAAAAGGCACCAAAACAAGTGCTTTACCTCTTTAGAATTTCGGGTCGATTCCAAGTTCTATAGGCACCCCAAGGTTTTCACCAGTAGAAATTGAGTTAAAGCTGAATTGCACGTTTTTTAAACTCGTCACGTTGTGAAAGTGTAATGTGGGGATTGATTTTAATCGTGCATTGCAACTAGATTTGCGGATTTTCCTAAACATTTAGAGCTTTCTGGTCACTACAATACAGCGGTAACACCATTAGCTATAGATCCTTCAACAGAAGCTCTTTACAGAGATCTATGAATGATGGCCATCAGCATTATGCGAACCTTGAATTATTAATTGCTTCTGCATACACTACCGCACCACGCGTCATCTACGAGTCCAAATACTATTGTCCACACTTAACTCTGCTTAGTAATATTCATTTCTGTGGATGCAGTCATCCACAATGCCGTCAGTGACTTTGCATGATTTTGCCTTGACTAATATGCACACTTGTCTGTTCTACAGGTGGTCCAGCAAGTCCTTCGTGATTGGCCACTTTGGGGACAAGGCAAACCCAAGTGCATTTCGCACATTTGAACATTGCGGTGTTGGTAGATGCAACTCCTGGTTTTATACCTGCCTTAATCAGAGCAAACATCTCCTTCAGAATGGTAAACTAGGCGAAGCAATGACAATACAAATTTTCGGCAGTTTGTGCGCTTCTAGTAATTCTTCTCTTTAATCAGAGAAAAATATGAAGCAGTCTACTGGGTAGCTGTGTAGCAATTAGTTGCTTTGAAGTAAGTGCGGGGTAAGCACATGTGAGGTGTCATTTAATAGTGAAAATGCATTTGGCATTATTTCTACATCAAAATGCTAATTAACGCAAGTGGCTTAAGTAACAGCTTGTGTAGACATCACAAATACTCTTAGCCAATCACAGATGCCAGCACGATTACTGCTTGCTTTGAAGCCTTGTCATTTCGAAAGTACGTTATTTTCTGAGATGAACCAATAGCCTTGGACAGAGTAGCCCATTTAACGGATGGCACTTAATTGTTTGTTCAAGTAGAATCAACAGGCTCGTGTGAAATTAAATAAGTAAGGTCAGTCACCTGTCTACATAGCCCGGTACAGTTACTTTCTAAGTAACCCTCTTAAAACGATCTTTTTAGACCTATTCATCGTCGATGTAGATGCTGTAACCAGGATTATGCGTACATCTTGTTTTCTGAATCTCGAATTAAAATATTGTTACTGATGTCTTATCAGTACGTCATATTTTACTGCTTCGGTAAACTTCATTACCAGGTTCATAATTTCATGAATTTTGGTGATGTTTGCTCATACAGGGTCGACTCTGCACTGTTCTATAAAATGACGGCTTTTAACGAATCCAATGTAATTCGAAACAGACTTCTCAAAAACCTCCATGTGTATTACCGATTTCTGAATTTGAGCAAATGCATGGGGGGACAATGGACTTGTTTATTTCCCACTAAATTTACAAGGTGGGATATTAAATTTGTGTTTCACTAGAAGAATTCCATTAAAAAATTCAGCCGCAGACAGGAGAAAAGAAGTCAGTTTTTTAACTCTACAAAGTTACCGCGCATTGGTAACTTATGTTAAGAAGGCAATTGCAATTATCACATCACTGCTATTAAGGACCATTGTCAACCACACTGTAAAACTTGGCATGAATGCAAACAAAAACACCCATGAGAGCGGCGTTTTTAATACAGCCAATTAAGGTTGAGTGGTGCAGTGCAGGAATCACAATGCGAGGCGGAATATTCCGGAGATTTGCGTGCTGTTGTGCAACATGGAAGCCTGGTTAATTAACGTGAAACTTCTTGCATGTCACCGTACCTTAGAAAATCGCCAAGCAAGGCTGGATCAAATATGCCTTGATGTTCAAACGCGATTAGCGGCTTATGAAGCCGCGATAAATTGAGGTCAGTCCAGCATCGCAATCGACAGTTTCGAAATCTATGCATTTGCTACCTGAAACGACTCCCAAATGCGTCGTGTCAGATACAACCAGTGACTAATTCATACCCCGCAAATTTGTACGCCACACCTCCATTGATGGACTCTGGTATGAGGGCTTGCTAGGCGCTGTCCGATTATCCAGGGCGTTAGCAAAATTACGTTTGCGAACGCATAGAAGGAATGCGAAGACTGGCACGATCGTCAGCGCCTGTCTGCATCTTGGCTGGACAGCCTGTAGTGGACTGACAGACGCCCCGCGCGAGTGTGCGTGCATGAGGGCCCGTATGTACCAATGACTCACCCCTTTAGTTATTGGCGTTCGCCTGTTACGCACGCGTGCTCATACGCCCACAAAGCCACTTGGCTGGTATGGCACTAATAAGCGGTCGTGTTCTCAGTTGCCTCCTTTCCCCTCTCCTCGGGTAGTTACGGGCCGTTAACTAGAGGGTTGGAAGGTAGTGCTAAATTCCCTAGCCACTACAAGCCGCACACAATCTAAAACTCGTCCAATGGAAGCTAATTAAGAAAGAAAGCGGTATTCGCGCAAATGGACTTATTGTTAAAAGACCCAGTGAAAGGCATCTGAACCTCACACAGATTTAAACATCGGTAGAATTAATTTAAATTTTATTCTAATGAGAATGTGCCATGAAGCCAATTCGTGTGGCACCATGAAAGAGGTGGCTACTAATCAGAGCGGTGATTGAGAAACGTTTAAACTCTCGTATTCTGGAAAAAAACTTGAATTTCCCTCTGTTTGAGGGGCCGGGAGAGCCTGCTCATTCCTCAAAAGCGTTGTCTACCAGTGTGATACTATGGGGAATTGAAACACATGACTTCTAGACTTGTTTTCGACTTTTTCTCAGTAAACATCGCGAACTCCAAGGCCGTTGGGTATTTTGTACTCAGGTCTGGACTCAAAAATAGCGACTACGTGTAGGATTAATGGGATTTTGCATGTGTTATAATGATTGTGTGAGCCGAAAAAAGAACGGATCGTAATCTTAGACTCACTTCGAAGGCAATGACCAATGAAGACACCAGTGAACTTTAACGCAGCTTTAAAAAAAATCGATTGCTACCCAATGTCTGGACTGAACTTTAATTGCGGTTTAAAGTACACTCAGTAGTACACCAACGTCGTGTGCAAAAGTATAGCCGATTTTTGTAGACCCAGTGCAGCCCTAAGATGCGTCCGCACAAACTTCTAACCAGCCTTTAAATAATTTACGGCATATTAC